TCTCAGTCTTCCTACTTTCACCACTTTCGTTACGTCTGGTGCATCCTGCATTCCGTATAATTCGTCACACATACTTTGCAATGTGTCATTCTCATTGATCGGCCAATACTTTCTTAGTATTCTTCTTTAAGATATTTTAGTCAGGTTTCATCACATTTAATCAGAGTCAAGCTTTCACTTCCTTGTATGAGAACACGTCACAAAATGATCTATACATGATCTGACAGTACCGTTCGCGAACACATTGCGGTAAAAGTGCTACATACCTCATTGCTGAATATCACTGTGGTCGCCTTCAAAGCCCTTCCCTTGGGAAGCTATGAACCAATGCCAGCGCCTAGTCCACCCTTCAGAACAATTTTCGAAATGGTTTTGTGGAATGCCCGTCAGAGCTGCCGTCTTATGACTCCTGATGTCATCAACGTCATCAAAATGCCTTCCTTTCAATATTCCCTTTATCTTCAGGTACAGGAAGAAGTCACTGGTGCTAGATCCGGTGAATATTTAGGATGTTCCAGCACAATGTTTTGTTTACTAACTAAAAATTCCCTCACAGACAGTGCCGAGTGAGCACGTGCATTTTCCTGTTGCAAGACACAAAAATACACCCAGAAAATAATAGACGCCACTCAGAAAGAGACTGCTATAGATCAACAACAACACAGCTAAAGTCGTCAAACAATACTGAGGTTTCTGTCCACTGTTACCACGGCAAGCACGTGGCGAGTTCGCGAACTTTATTGTCAGACCTGGTAAAATTTAAACGCTGCACAAAACAAACGAGGACCACACGAATCCCTTGATATGAGACATTCAATTTGACGCTCGACTTCTGCTTGATCAGCATATTCTTCGACTTTCATTCGAAATGTCGGTAAACTTAACCCACACTATACGTCATCACAGCCGAGGAGATTGTACTCTTCGTACTCGCCGCTGTAAGATCACGTGCAATATAACAGTTGTTTAAGTGTAGATTATTTGGTGGCTCTCCGAGAGGCAGTGACTTCGAAACTTCCCCATCTACTCCCTGAGTAAATAATAGCCTCAATGATCATCTCTACCGAAAGATAACATTTTACACCCACATAAAATAACAGGTAAAATTGTTTCCTGTACATGTGACATAAAAGGGAGCCAGGGTAGCGTAGTCGGTATAGCGACTGGCTACGGGGTGGACGCCCGAGAGGTCAGAGTTCGAGTCCCGGTAGGGTCAAGAATTCTCTCTTCTCCACGTCGTCCAGACGGGCTCTGGGGTCCAACAAATCTCCTATCCAAGTGGTACCGGGAGCTCTTTCCCCGGGGGTAAAGCGACAGGGGAGTGAAGCTGACCACTGACGTCCAGCTAGTGCCGACGTCAAGAAAATATGGGTCTATACATCCACTCCCCAGTAAGCGTTCATGGCGTAGTGCTTAATTAGTTAAGCACAGGAACAGCTTCTACATGTAACATAAAACCACGTACGTATCTTCCAGTGCATTGTTTAAAACACAGAGTGAACATATAACTCCATTGTTAAAGGTTAGTGGGGATATTCAGACATCTGAGAGATGTAAGGTCACCCAAGGAGACATATGCTTCTTTAATGGCTTCTAATAATTCCCTTAAAATGTTTCAGTCAGGATTATTTAATTATGCGAGCCGTAATAACTCAGTTTTTTATCAACTTGGCTACGGGCTGAACGACTGGGGAGTCGGGGTTTGATTCCGGTCGGTTGCAACAGGTTCGTTCGCTCTTTCTTCTCCATAATGTCCAGATAGGCTCTGGAGTCCAGATTGCGCGGTTTGTTTCCCCGTGACCACAGTGGCGGTGGCGCGGAGCTGACCACAAAGCTCCGTCTAGTGCCGAGGTTAATAATGGTTGAGCTGTAACTCCACTCCCCCATACGTCTTCATGGCGTGGTGTTCTATTAAGCCCAAGGATAACTTTGCCCTTAGCTTTATCATATTGTTACGCGTATGAATATGATTATACACGGGGTTTGGATTTGTAATTGGATTTATTGAACACTTACAGATCGGAACTACAAGTAAAGCGCTATCGCTCATTCACACACTCTGCAGTTCACTACAGCACATACCTAAGTCTTCTCGGCCTGCTGTCCTCAGCAGTTTACTGGTAACGTCTTCCAACGGCAGTCGTTCCCCTTCCTCTGGGTTCCCTAACTGTACCCGTGCCCCTCACAAGGACTGAACTGCAACAGTCCTCTAATTCACTCCACTCCAGTAACTCCCAGGCTGGTGGCCACTCTTCTCACTGCCGTCTCAAGGCTCTCTCGTAATCGCAACCTCTCCTCGTTATATATCCTCAGCACGGACGACATAGAAAACACTTCTCCCAACAGTTCTTCTATTGTTGGGTCACCTATCTATTGCGCGGACCGCGTAGAGAATACCGCTTCCCAGTTACTCCATTGTTGTTTGTTACGAATCTGTTGCGGCCATTACCCGGTAGCAGCTCATGACCACACTTTACAGTTTGAAGGCTCTTTCAGACTCTCACTGTTACACAGACTGTCATAGAGTCAGATTTATTTTACGACTGGCAGCTTACCGCAAATCAGTTCGTCTTGGTACAAAACCCCTTCAGGGTCACAACCAGAGATATTTTTAAACTAAACCCCTGTGGTCATAGACCTTATGTAACATACTTTCTGACGAGAGGATAAGTTTGCCTCCTATGAATAGGCTTTGCTTTTATCAAGTGTACGTGTAGCTATCGACGCGGGTCACAGAGAAAACACCTTTACTCTGCTGCTGTTTAATGGTCGTTGGCTGGTAACGGACGTTGTCGAGTTATTTGTTTCGCTGTCGTTGCCTAGCACCGGTCTATATGCCACAATATATTACTTGTACTCGTATTTTTTCTTTTACAAGGCACACATTAAAACAATATCATTTAAAAACAAAGGATTTGTTTGAGGTTTATATTACAAGCATAGAAAAGTCATATAACGTGCTAGACGAACCTTGAACACCTGCTACCTCATTGTAGTTTTTGGATATACTAGTACAAACCCGTATGTGAAGGCCCACAAGGCACAAACAGGTTATTATCTGAGGACAACGTACTGTAATTCGAAATGACTGTGCTGAGAGAACACCTACACGTACTCTTATCATTTCGGGCAGGTAGCAGACAATTAATATTCTATTGTGCTTTGCGTTTTTTGTGCTCTTTTCAAACGCCACGAAACAATGAAATAGACAACATCGCTCTCTGCAGTCTTATTCTTTTCGGTGTCGTAGTTGTCAAACATGAAGTGACAGGAAGTTGGAGAAAAATACATAATGAGGAGCTCCATAACTCGTACTCTTCGCCAAATACAATTAGAATGATCAAGTCAAGGAGAATGAGATGGTCAGGGAAGTTAACACAAAAGGGTGGAGAAGAGGAATGCATGTACGATATCGGTGGGAAAGCCAGAAGAAAAGAGACCACTAGGAAGACGAAGAAGTAGGTGGTTGAACAATATTAAAATGGATCTTAGATAGATAGGATGGGGTGGTGTGGACTGGGTCAATCTGGCTCAGGATAGGGACTTGTGGATGGCTCTTGTGAACACGGTAATGGACATTCGGATTCCATAAAATGCTGGGAAATTCTCGAGTAGCTGCACAATTGGCGTCTTTTCAAGAAGGGCTCAGCTCCATGAAGTTAGTTTTATTTAGTTTTCAAACGTTGACAAGGGGTCATAGCCACATTATATTTCTCTCGAAAGTAGTAATACCAGCATTAAAGTTTAGAATTTGACTTCATTTCTATTTTTGATTCGTATTTTCTTTTTACTTCGGCATTAGAATTGAAGTATGGGAAGAGCAAGATCACGTAACAAAATGTGAAACTGGAAACGAATGTATTCAGAATTGGCAGAACGCATTTCATACCGAGGCACAGGATGTTTAGAATTTGACGTGTATTTTTTAAGTTCGATTTTAAACTGTTTTATGTGGATACCAACAAATTTTTCGGTCGCTTGTACATTAGATTACTAAACGTCGAGTTACTGTCACCGCCATACGTGTGCAGGTATAGAAGGTCACAAAGTCGGTTCTGGTACCACATGTAGAACCTGAAATACGGTGTGTCATGAGCGTTGATAACACCGCAAGGAATTCTTAAGTAGCCGCCCTTGTCCTCTCCCCATACAGATAAAGCTATCCCTGTAAGAAGCCGTGAAGGCCCATAGGGTTGTGAGACATCAAGGCTCCCCCCGCCCCTCTTCTCTAGAAAATCGGCTCACAGAAGGTGGTAGGGTTGTCAGCCTCACGCGCCGGCCCCCCTTCACTCCCAGGAATCTTCCTAACACTCATTTCTATTAAAGGCTGCGTTGACCTCAGGGCCGTAGTCCAACTGGAAGGATTAGGTAAAAAAAAAAATCCGTCTCATCGGGATTCAAAACCGTGACCTTCCTGCTTGTAGCATACGCCCTATACTCGTATTGAATTTATATAAATTAAAATTAATGTGGAGGCTTGTATGTCGTTAAAAATACATAAACTCGAAAAATGTAAGCGTGGTTCGCTCAGCTTACCGCCTTCTGCTGCCAGTTTGTTATTTGGCTCACTCTTCGACTCTGAAGATAGAGGCGATATGTTCCTCCGAAACATCAGGCTTGCTCCGTTACAGCCAATAATTAACGGATTTTAACGAGACATAAAATACCACAGAATACTACACACATATTTCTTTCCCAAGTGGCAACAATGAAAACATTCAAATCACGAAGAATACTGTAAACTTACATCTTTACATATTTGGTTTATTGGTTACCAAAACCCTAAGGTACTAGTACACGCACTTGCTTTAAAACTGAGTTGAAATACGGAAATAATTTTGTCTCCTCCGCTTTATAAACAGGACTCTATTTTGCCTCTACTTTAAGCTTAACATCCAGCCGTCAACATTGAGAACGCAAACAGAATCTACAGTATAAGCTTGTAAAGCCGCAAGCAACTGTTAGTGTAAGCGAAGCAAAGTCTGCAAGGAATTCCTTACCTCCAGCGCTGATGTGGACGTTCACAGTGACGCGGCAGTGACGTTGAATGAGTGGATACCAAGTACAGCGGCTTTTGTTAGCCTCCACGCTCCGCCCCTGTCTCCCCGTGTAACAGCTGTGGATCAGGTGGAGGATGATATCACGTGATTATTCACGTAAAGAAATAAATAAAGCCACTTACACTTCGCTTTAGGCGTCGAATAGAGGATAAGAAGCGTGAAATCGCAAAAGGTTTTCAGTCTGAAGCAGCATTTAATGCTGAATTCTGGTGATAGTAATTGTTGTGTAACATTATGTAATGGCATGCAACGATCGTGGCTAAGGATTGAGGTGGTGCAACTGAGTAACTTGGGCTGTTAATCCGGAAACATACTAATACATTAACCTACCAGCTAACCACGTGTCTTAAATGCTCCATTTCAAAGAACGAAGCTGACTTTTCTCTCCAGTTCACAGTTTTCTGTCGTTTCTGATAAAAGTAAAAATAAAGTAAATGTATCATGTAACAGTCTGTGGAGGTCAATATCTAGACAATCGGCTCATAGATGGCGGTAAGGTTGTCAGCCTTACGCGACGATCACTTTTTACCCACAAGAACATTCCAAGAATATTCCTGGTACTCATTTCTGTCAGAGGCTGGGTCTACCCCAGGGCCATAGTGCGGCCGGAAGGAATAGGTCAGTTGAAGAAATCCAATGACTTCATCGGGACTTGAACCCGCGACCTTCCGGCTTGTAGCAGAGTGCCTCAACCTACTACGCTACCGCGTGTTTCTGATTCGTGAGGGAATTAAGGAAGATTGATTTCATATAATACTTGCTACAATTCGGTCTTTGTTTTCGAGCCGGGGTAGCGCAGTCGGTATAGCCACTGGCTACTGGCTGGACGACCAAGGTGTCGGAGTTCGAGTCTCGGTAGGGTCATGAATTTTCACTTTTCAGTCTCGTCCAGACTGGCTCTGGGATCCACCTACCCTCCTACCCAGTGGGTACAGGGAGTAAAACGGCGGGGGCGTGAAACGAACAATTGACCTCTAAGTTAGTGCCGAGGTCAAGAAAACGTGGGTCAATACATCCACTCCCCCATATGCCTTCATGGCGTAGGGCTTAGTTAGTTAAGCTCAGGGGCAACTTTGCCTTTAGCTTTTACATTTTGTCTTCTCGATTGCTGTCCAAAAACATAAAAATTAAAATACAAAAAACTTTAGTTTTTGGTTCTCTATGGGTGTGAAACTTGGTCTCTGACATTAAGGGACGAACATATACTGAAGTATTTAAGAAAGGGATGCTGAGGAGAATGTCTGCACCGTGGAGGGATGAAGTTACGGGAGGTTGGAGAAAACAACATAATGAGGAGTTTCATAACTTGTACATTTCGCCAAATATAATTACAAATAGATTGATCAGTCAAAAAGGCTGAGATGGGTATGGCATATAGCAGACATGGAGAGAAGATTTGGTGGGAAATCCAGAATAAAAGGGATCACTGAGAAGACTTATACGTAGGTAAGTAAGTAAAGTAAAGCTATCCCTGTAACAGGCCGTGAAGGCCCATATGGTTGTGAGACGTTGAGGCTCCCACATTATCTAGACAATCGGCTCAAAGATGGCGGTAAGGTTGTCAGCCTTGCGCGCCGGCCGCACTTTACGCCCCAGGAAAATTATTTAATTAATTACTGGTACTCATTTCTGTTAGTGGATGAGTCGACCCCAGGGTAGGTAGGATGACAATATTAAAACGGATCTTAGAGAAGTAGAATAGGTTGATATGGACTAGATTGATCTCAATCAGGACAGAGATCAGTGGAGGGCTCTTGTAAGCACGGAAATGGATCTTCGGTTTCCATAAATTGTTGGAAAATTCTTCAGTAGCTGAGTGACTGGCAACTTCTCAAGAAGACTCAACTTTATGGAGTTAGTTAATTATTCTTCTGTCGTTATAGTTAATAAACTAGAGGTTTATAAGCAGTACAACTCCTCTGATGGCGATGGTAACGCGAAAAACACGGATGTGCATGCTTACAGCGAGTGGGAATCGAAGACGCGCATCACGGTAGGTCTCGCGTGCGGCAACCGTGATAAGCGCATTCCTCTTTGGCGTGGTTAAAAATTTCCTACAAGGAACAGCAGTTGATCAGGTGAACCGTAAAATCACAATGACGTAAGTTAACGTTACTGTAGAATTTTAATTTCGTGGGATTTTTAACCCAGAAGATAGTACCCTGCGTTAAATGAAGCTTGTCATAAAATAAAGGGTTGAAACATACAATGATTGATGTTGCTACAGCCGTGTTCGTTTTAATATCGTCGGGAAGTTGGTAATTCTGAAATGTTCTAAATTTGCTCCATGGATAAGCCTACTGTCACAGTAGTACTTAAAATTTGTTGTCCATCTGGAATTATTAGGCTAAGAGTGAAACAGATTGATACAGCTGATTATGTAAAATGCTTGAAAAAAAAATAAAAAAGGAAATTATGGTATCGAACACTTTTATAAAGAAAACAATGTATAGAACAAATAATGGATGTAGGCTTCAATATTGTCTCCATTCCTTTTGATCCTCTAAATTTCAGAACCGAATATTTAACTTTATTTTGTGGCCAAAATATTTTCATCTATAATTTCAGAACCTATTACTTATCATTTTCAGAAACAAGTAATTTATATGCCCTGAGTACTTCATTCTAAGTGCATGTTGCTCTTTCGTCACCAGAACTCAGGGCAAAATCATGACATAAAGATAGCTATTAGATCCTTTGAAAATGTGGCACAGTTCAAATATTTGGGAAAGACAGTAACAGATTAAAATTTGATTCAAGAGGAAATTAATAGGAGATTGAATTCGGGTAATGTTTGCTACCATTCAGTCCGGAAGTTTTTGCCTTCTCGTCTGCTGTCTAAAAACTTAAAAACTAAAATATACGAAACCATAATTTGACTGTGGTTCTATACGGGTGAAAAACTTGGTCTCTGACATTAAGGGAGGAACTTATACTCAGGGTTCTGAGGAGAATATTTGGACCGAAGAGAGATGAAGTGACAGGAGGTTGAAGAAAACTGCATAATGAGGAGCTTCATAACTTGTTCCCTTCTCCAAATAAAATTAGAATGATCAAGTCAAGGAAGATGAAATGGGTAGGGAATGTAGCAGGAGTGGGGGGAGAAGCGGAATGCACATAGGATAGTTGTGGGGAAGCCAGAAGGAAAGAGACAAGTAGGAAGACAAAGACGTGGTTGGGTGGATAGTATTAAAATGGATCTTAGAGAAATAGAATGGTGTGGTAGGGACTGAATTGATCTGGCTCAGGATAGAGACCAGTGTCCTTGTGAACATAGTAATGAACCTTCGGGTTCCATAAAATGCTGGATATTTTTTGAGCAGCTGCACAATTGCAGATTCTCAAGAAGGGCTCAGCTCCAGGAATTTCGAGTACGTTCTTCAGCTTCTTCTACGATGCTGTCAGCATCTCGGACTGGGCAGTGTCAAATGGAAAGATGAGGAATGAAAAATACATTGAAAATTATTTCTATGGGAGCAGCTATGATCTAATCGAGGTATCAACACGGCAATTGTCAGGAGTGACTGAGAAATCTCACGAAGCACCTTAGTTAGGACAGCCGTTATCCCGGCAGAGGCTCGAACCGAGCACCTCCGAAATACAAGACCACAGCTTTTCCGTTACACTAACCTCCCCGGATCCCTGGCTTCTTACTTTAATGCTGCGTTCATTCTGAATTACTTCTGCAGCTGAAACAACGTCATTAAATAACCTAAAACTTTGGAAGTCTTGATACTGAGTGGTAATTCCAAAAGCATGTAGGTCAATTGGCTTATCGGGGGAATCACTATCGCAGAGTGAGACAGTGAATCTTGGAGCATGGAATTTGCACTTTCTGTAATACAACTAATCCCTTCCTGGGTTTTTGAACTTTTTCCCATCGTTCAGTATTCTAGTAAACAGGAAACACGACGTTTCAGAAACTATATCTGTTTCCGTATTCAAGTGAGGGCTGGGAAGACTGCTATTCAGTTGGGTCTCTTAAGGCGAGTCCACATTACTCGTGCTCGTATGACTCGCTATGCTCGCGAGTAATGTGGACGATGTGACAAGTCNACGAGTAATGTGGACGCTGTGACAAGTCACAAAACAAAAAATTTTTAATTTTCAATTTAAAAACTATAGCCAATAAATTAAAATACAACTATAGCCTATACACACTACGAGTAAATATACGGATCCTCACGCGCCGAAGCCTAGCGAGCAACTGAAGTAGTGTGGACGAAGATTTATGAGCACAAGTAAAAGCCAGACGAGTCTCCCGACGAGTACAAGCCTGGCGAGCACGAGCACGAGCACGAGCACGAGTAATGTGGACGCGCCTTTAGAATCTAATCCTTTCCTATTTATTTATGCCACGATTCCCTCTTCATTTTTACTTATCTTCATCTTTTTCCTTCTCCTTGTTATATTTGTAAACCAACGGCAAAAGGAAATGAAGCTAGGAAAGCAGATCATTGCCGAGTAGACGTATCACCAATACCGATCTCAAATTAGGTGATACTAACTACTGTGACGCCGATCACGGTAGCCGAGCTGTCTAGGGCATGCACTGTCTTCGATCGCTCGGAAGCCGTGATCGTGTGTTCGAATCCCACTCAGGGCATGGATGTTTGATGTGTGTGTGTGTGTGTGAATTTTTCTGTGTTTAGGTACAGGCCTTGCGACGAGCTGATCACCCGTCCAAGGAGATTTTTTCCCTTGGCACTACAGCCCCAGTGGGCCTAGGCCTACCTCCATGAACTTCTCCGTTCACTTCGATTTTTCTATATCTTACACATTCGGTAGGACTCCTTGGGCGGATGATCAGCTCGTCCCAAGGCCTCTACCTGTACACAAACACAGAAAAACGCACACACACAAACTAAACATCCATGCCCTGTATGGGATTCGAACCCACGATCCCGGTTTCCAAGCGAGCGAAGACAGTACATGCCTTAGACCGCTCGGCTACCGTGACCGGCGTCCAAGGATTCCTGCCGTCTGTAAAATGATCAAGAAACTGAGAAATCAGC